GCATATATCAGACACGCTGCTGGCGTTATAACTTGAAATTTAATAGTTTGCCATAATGCTATTAAAGTAGACCTGTCTGAACCTCCATAGAGACCAATAGTGAACTATATTCTAACGTAACAATAGCAAAATTGTATATATAGCAAAAAAAACACGAATTTAATGTTTTTATAAACTAATTATTTTTTATTACCAAGTTATCCCCATTTTTGCCAACATCGTAAATGATTCATTTTATTCAAAGAAAGTATAGTACCTAATTTTCAGTGCCCGTGCTGCCTAAATTAACTTCAATCAGTTAATAAATACCATTCTCTGTTTTGGACTTTAAACTGCACCCTGAATTCATTCATTTTGATATATCTACGATTATAAAGTACCAAATAATTTACATACGAGTACGTTGATAATTTTAACAGTGAGAATTATGCACGTTGGCTTTTTTATGAAATAATAACATGCCTGGTCTTTTTTTAAATAAAAATGTCATAATTTATGTAAAAAAATTGCCATTTAATGGATTATTCACTTATTCTTTTGAAAATTAAAATCATTGTGGCACAAAAAACATTATCAGAAGTGTGTTTTGTCAATTGAACATAATCTTAGATTCAATACATTTAATAAGATTAAAACGTTTGGATGTTAGTGCCACTCTCCGAATTCCATTGTTTTGAACATTCAGTAGATAGTCATCGACAAGGATAATCCGTCGGGTATTAACAAACATCATCGCATTTCAATGAAACTATAAACCCAGCAAAACACGAAAACATGTTTCTATATATTCGCACATACGCATACACATTTCCCATCCCACAACAAAACCATTTTACCATTTGATTCTCTGCCGCAACTGCCACCGAAGCGTATATTAATGTTTCTATAGGTTATCTATGTGTGTTTTGCGTGAACATTCTGAACGGATCGGTATGAACTATATAAACATTCGACGAATTAAAGGAGTCATCTTGTCATATCTGCATTCATTTGGATCAAATTCAGTGCGGTTCAAGCATTAAACGTCGAATATAATTTGATATGGATGTTGTTCTTAGTTGCACAAAAGACCCTAATCATACACGCTTTTAGGACCACAAAGAAAACAAAAATTAAACTCGCTTTACATTAGGTTTTCAAATTGCGCACACGTGCAGAAAATTTAATTTTATTATGAAATTTTACCTGTCAGATGCATTGATGAAATATATCTACCTGATTCGACGTGCTATTGTGGTTGCTTTCTTGCCAATCTTTTATGAAAAATTATTGAGTACATAATTTTAAAATCATAACAAATACTGAAAGAAATGTATGTTTTTATTTGTCCGAATTTTTATATAATGATTTTATATTATATTTTAAATTTTTTATATCGTACGTAATATAATGAGTGAGAAATATTTTGATTCAGGACAGAAATGCTATAAATAGAAAGCCACAAAGTGCCAAATTTTAGAAAGTGTGCGTGAAGAATTGGAAAACAAAGTGAAAATCATTTAAAAGTCAAAATTTAATAGTCGATTTGTACCCTAACTCTTACAGGCCGCAAAAAAAAGTGCAATCGGTAAACAAAGATAAAAACTCCTCTAGATGCTTGAAAAAAGTAAAGAAAGGTGTAGATATAAAGCAGGCTTTCGAAGTGTTTCAAAAAGCCATTTCCTGTTCACTCCTTTGGAGCGTTTCATTTCCTGCGCGCGGTTTGATTTCTGATGTTGAGCATTCCTTCCCCAAGTGATAAAAAAGACATGAAAAAGCGACCAACATTCTCTTTAGCCACAACCGCATAGCAGCGTGCAAAAAACCGCTTCGATCTGAAAACGACAACCACAACAAGCAATAATTTCGCATAATGGAAAGAGCAAGCTGCGAAAATTAGCATTAAGTAAATAATGAACGAGACGAGTTTGCAAATTGAAATGCGCAGCAATCGGAATACCAGCGGACTATTAAATTATAACTCCTAAGAGCACTAACAGGCAACAGCAGCAAAAAAAAAGAAGAGAATTGGAATGAATAAATGTTGGCCGCGTTGCTCGCTACTGAAAATAAAATCATGGAATGTAATTACATTATGACTGTGGACGCAGTGGATGCTCCTAGCGATCCTAGGCGTCTTCGATGTCGGCGAATAAAAGAAATTGGTTTTTCTGGGTGTTGGTTTTTCCCTCCAGCTTGTTTCGCGTTTCTTTCGTTATGTGCACACACACCGGAAAACTGTTTCGGCACACACTAAACGTAGTTGTTACGTTCAATTCGAGTTAAGTTACGTTAAGCAAGTCGGCGAAGGAAAGCAGCACACGATGCGATTCGACGAAACAGGAAAACGCGGTTAAATTCGCTTTTGTTTTCCGCCTGTGTTTGCGCACCGCACGTTTTCCTCGCATCTTACGGCTGAAACCTGATAAAAAGTGAAGAAAAGTTTCACTTTGGGTATTAAACGTTTGAGGCAAACTTTACGAAACTTGGCAAAGCGAGATAAAGTAGTGAAAAAAACTGGATATTAGCAAAAAATATCTACACAAAAATTACCATTTTATGCGCAAGCCCTGTGCAAATTAACAAAATTATTAGTAATAATAATATAACCTACAATAAATCAATTCAAAGTCTAATTTATGGTTGAATATCATTATTAGTTACATTTTCAATAACCGTCTAGAACGATCATGTATAATTCAAAGATCGAAGACAATTTGCGCGCTCACTCGAAGTGCAATTACAGAATTACGCCCTCATCAGAACGTTATACGACCTTATCAACTCGCCGACGTCGCATTGCAGCCGACAATGAAAACGGGCTGCGATATTGCGCTGACAAATTTGCACCCTTCATTAATGCATTTATAAATGCATTATCTGCATTCGCGCATCTCGCTTCACAAAGTCATTATTAATTAACGATCACATACAACATTCGTTGCAACTAGCAAAACGCCGAGCATAATATAGCGTAATACTAAGTTTGCAACCAAATAAAGCATAAAACGATTTTCTTTTGTTGTGCGACAGGTAATATCGAATCGAAAATTTTCAGCGCTTTGGCGATACGTGTTTATGCTGTTTGCGCTTACGTGCCTCGGTTGAATTTCTGTTTGTACCTATTCTCGCGTATCTTTATATTTATTTGGGTCGATCTTTTCGCACGCGGCCAGCATGTGGTCCGATACTTTCGATACACCTTGGTCTGTTGGGTGGAGTATATTCCCTGCTCTCCATTTGCTCGAAATAGGTTTATGTGTGCACTTGCTTACCTTTTTGTGCACGCCATTGTGTCGGCTACAATTGTATCAGGAAAATTGATATGAATGCCGTGCGTTGATATTGACATTAAACTATTGAGTAGATACGACAAAATTGAATTAAATTAAATTGTTAATTCATAAACGATTTTGAAAATATTTAATGCATATTTAATGAATAGCAATTTGTCTTTTGTCCATACGTAATTGTTGTGTTAATGATTTTGTTCAACAAAGTCGTTTATAAATATTGCCAGCACAAAAAAACTCTTAGGGCACGCCTTGAATATATGCAAATGCCTCCTCGAACTATGGCCATCGCGACGGCATAACTAGACTAACGAGTTTTCGGCGGCGGCGACCGACGCTCCCCGGCGAAATTAACAAATAAAAACTTCGAAACCATCAAAACCTGCACACAAACCCACTTATCCATGAACAACGCCGCCAAACTAAATAAAAGGAGAGGAAAATGCGAAACGCAAAGTTTCACACTCGTAGTTTTACACAAAAGACGACTACGATGCGCGGGGCAATAAAAACCGGATAGAATAGATATAGACCGGAGAGTGGGAAAGTGCTTCTACATTTAGAAAATTTGCATTTGCATGGCGGGCGGAATAAATTAAATTAAATGAAAAGAGAACATAACGCGGAATAAGAACAAACACAACAAGCCTTCCAAATGCAGAAAAACCAGGGTGTGGCATCATAACATGGATTTATAATGTTGATCTTATACTTTTTTAGACTCAGTAGTCTTTAGATGGTGTTATGGTGTTGTTTAATTGCTACATTAAATATTTGCTCATGATGGTACAGCATATTTCAATTGCCTGGACAATACAACGACAACGGAACTATTTTCGCTGAGTTCAGCCATGCAGAATGGAATATCCTCCCACCGTAACTTTTAATATCAAAATTCTGTTGTGTTGCGGAAAATTTATGTTTCTACTCGAAACACTAGCGTTTGGTTGACCTACATATATTAACTTTTTCTCCTTTCGACTGCTGCATATTATATCTTTATATTAGAATTAGAAATTAGGTGTCGAGTGGCCACCACTTCTGTGAACTGAATATTGCATATCCTTACCATACAGAGTGTCATCGCAATAAATTTCCAAAATATTGTAAAAACTATAAAAATAGTTTCACAAAAATCAGACAAAATATCTGATTATTTTAATTATTTTGCTTGGTAAATGTTTTTTTTGTATATAAACCATAAACACATAGTATATATGATAAGTTTTTGGTCCATACAGCAGTCGCGCATTTTCACAGTTTCGCGCGTCTCCTGCTTCTTGTTTCAGCATTGTTTGCAAATGTATGCATATATTTCGGCACCCCGCATGTGCACAAAGAATATAAAATAAGGAATCCAGAGGTGGCACAAGAGCGAAAGGGTTGCTCATACCCAGAATATTTGAATATCATGAAGCGCTATCTCGCAAGTGTTGCAAATAAGGAAGCGCCAGCGACAGGGCGCGCCTTAATGTGTTAATATCGCGCCTATTTGTTATTCGGTTATCATATCACTGAACACATTATTCATTCCGGACCCGGATTCAGAAACCCACAAGACCCAGCCGCTACACAATGGTGTGCCGAAAAAAGAAATCAACAACAACAACAACAATGCACAAAGCACCGGAAAAGCAAAAGAAAACTTTTATCAGTATGTTAATATGTCAAAAGTTTCTCTTTTGCACGTTGTATATTCTATTCTACTAATAGACGAATAGAACTTACCTTTTTGGAAAATGTTCAGTACACACACATCTATAACAAATAGAAATCAATAAGTTTCATAATAATTTTATTGCAAATTGAACATTGGTGTAGTTATTTATATAGGTAATTATATTTTTGTAATAAAACTTATGCAAAGTTCTACTCAATAATCAAAATTAAACTAGAAACTCATGTGAACATCAAACACTTCAACACGTGTGACATAATGCGATTAATGCAATATTATGCATAATGCGCCCCAGCACAGCGGCGTAACATGTCAGGGATCTATTTTGTGCATGCCAATTACGCGCAATCTGTGAAAATAGTGCTGTCAGCAGATGGTATCATGTTCTAAATGTTTGTAATTAGCTACTTCATGCAGCCATATTACGAAACTCAATTCATATTTCTTTCACACTCTTTCCACCACCCAAAGCCAAAGCCAAAATTATTTACAACACATTTCACGAACAAATTCACAAAATTAAATATTCTAGGGCTCAGACTAAAATTGTTTATTTCTAATTCGCCTGAAAATAATTATGCTTAAATTTACGGCCGGCATTAATTATTGTTAATTGTGAAATTTAAATACTTGTGCAGAAATAAATTATCGATCAATTAAACCCTGATTAAATATTAGTCGTGGGATGCGCGCGCTGCCCGTAGAACGTTTTCACAGCGTGCCCCAAAATAACATTATTGCTGTTGCTAATATAACAGTATATTAATATTATTAATAATAATGTTTGTGCGCATATGAATAATTTATATCGTTCAATTATAATACGGCAAACGCGATCTAGTCGATAAATTGTCTATTCACGTAGATAATAGATAATGGTAAAGATTGAGTTAATATATTGCAGAGTGCATTGCGTTAACTATGCCTCCATTCGATTAATATTAATATTATTAAGTTTCGATATGAAATTCACAATAAACAATATAATTAGCTTTGGATACATATACTACATTGATTTATAAATTTAAATTATAATGAAGATATTGTTGTTCGTCATTATTAATTATTTTTTTTGAAAATAAATATAATTTTAGTTTGTATTAAACATCGTTTTATAAGCCTCTCATATTTGCGAGGGCTTCAGCATATACCCGGAGTGGCCAATGGGAAAAATAGAAAACAAATGGAGAAATTCCGACATCCGGATAAATTTAGGGATCCATCTAACTATCTACTCAGCAGATGTGACGATATGGGCTACCTTTGCCATTACATTCCTCGCATGCCAATGTCATTTTCTTCTGAAACAAATTACTACCGGTTGAAGTAAATTTAATATAAATAAATAAAATAAAGCAAAATTTGACTTAAAAAAACTTGTAGCCATGATGTAAAACTCCATAAGTAACGAGAGTTGAACTTGCTCGTTACGTCTGTGCAAATAACGTGTTCATAGTTAGATAGGGCCCAGTAAATGCGGTGTGCAGTTCCGTGCTTGAAATCGGAAATTTTAAAATAAATTGCTGGTGTAATTATTTACATATTTTCTCTACAACCTACCGCTCTATTAAATCAAACGTTTAAACAAATATTACGATAAGCGAGTTTTGTATGATTCTGCATATGTTTTTTTTTTCAGGTTTAAAAGCTTAAAATCCTAAATTGAACTCACAAATATCAATGTTTAGAATTTTTATCGAACAAATAGCAGCAAGATTAATGTTTCGCAATGCGTGTGGCACAAATGACAATTTCCCTCCATCCCTACACACCAACAATTATAAATACAAAACCACCCTTTAGCAAAAGCGGGGGTGCTGGCACGTATAGATGTAAATAATGAATGTCGCTATTATCTGATTGCGATTGCTTATAACATTAGAATCAAATTCACAAACGCGCAATCCGCCGTCGAGATACAAATGCGCACGTCGAATGATCGAAGGGGTGATTTATTGATGGTTTACATCATGCCGCTCGTGCACATAACATCACACTGCATCAACGGAAAGGAAAATAATAGTCGCATCAAAGTCAACATTGATAAAAACATTGCTACTGTTACTACCTATGCGGTCTGCGTGTTGGTACACAATATTATTAATTGCATGCCAAAACGCCGACTACATTTTGATTTCTATAAATTCAACTATTGCAAAACGGACGTAATGCATCCATTGACATCATCCGATTAATTACGGCATTTACGGCAATTTATAACGCCTCGTTGGAGAATCGCAGTAGTTGAGCGAATTGCATCCGACAAATATGTCTGTGGGCACAATTTGATAACCTTAATAAATTTGAATTTTGATTGAAATCGCTGTTATGATTGTGATTTCGATTAGTGTTTAATTTGTGATTAAAATATCTACAACATACCATATGTTTGACATCTTAATAATATTAATTTTACACAGCACAAGGTAAATCAAACTAAAAATGTTGATTCCCAGAGATAAACTTATGCTGCGCGTGATTAATATTATTTATGAGCACGTACTCTGTGTATTTTGCAGGTGTAAAGGCATTTATCGATTCAATAGGTACAAAAGCGGACGGCAAATATTGGTAACGCACATACGCGCGCGGTAATTTATAGATTTCCGGCTGTCATTCGCACAAAGAGTGTTGGCCGTGCGGATTGGCCCCATCAGTGGAAATCTACGTGCTTCCGTTCGCCATCGCCGACAATCAATTATTGAATTTACAAGCGGCAAGCGTTTGATCAGTGCCGTACCGTCCGCAACCACCTCCAATTCCATCACATTTTTTTGCGTGTTTTACGAGGCTTGACATATTATAGAAGTAAGATTAATAAGCTTAAACATTTAATGTGTTTTTCTTTTGCTCGGAGCAAACACTTGAACTTTCCCCATTAGCAAAGTTTTTCAATAAAACACTCGGGAATATATTTAATTAATGCTGCCATCATAAAAATCACCCTCTAGCATTACCCCCTCACAAGCTGCATTCATTTGCGTTATTAAATAAATCCCGAAAATCTCAATTTGAATGCAAACATTCATTTTGATCTTGATCCTCGGAAACCGCGAGACGTCGTCGAGTTGAGTCTGCTGCGCGCCCTTAACAAGATGTTCTTTATATCCATGAATGTGCGTTTTGGCTCGGTTTATAAGTGTAGCTTAGGCTCACTCGCAGTATATTCCCCGCTTGTTGATATATGGGGTTGGCCCGCTTTCATATTTATATCTATATTTATATTATATGAGTATAATAATTTCGGGGAGAACTCGAAGCACCCCTGGCGCAAATCAAAGAAATAAATATGTTTGAGTTATGCACACATCTTTAGGGTGTTGTAAATTTTGAAGGCAGTTAATGCACAGTTAAAAAAACCTCAAAGCGTTTTTGTAGTTTAATAAGAAAAACATAAATAAATGTAATTTCATGAAAAATGGTATATGTGATTTAATAATAGAAGAGTGTTTTAATGGTGGCTTCTTGACATCCTGTATGAGAACGTAATGGCGACATGAAATATAGAAATGGAGAAATAGACGAGGCGTAAGAAATCAACCGAGGTTTGTGGGGTGAAAGTGTAAAGAGATGTTGAAGAGGGTGAAAGCATCGCGCGCTGTAAATTCACCCTGCCACCACCGGCAAAAATCATACAATCTCCCGGCTTGTCATCAATGATATCCAATACACGCACACTCGTTTCTTCGCACCAGCATAAGAGTCTGATTCAGCTGAACCACCCTGGTTCATGGCTCAGACCTACACTAGTGTCACCTTTATTTATTTCGCGGTTTAGGGGGTGCGTTGTAAAAGTGAAAATGGAAAATGAATTCGTTGAGTGAAAAGTGTGCCCACAAAAAAAAAAGAATGCGGACGATTCTTTGATGGTTTGAAGAAAGAAGGCTTATCGTTCCCAACACGAGGGGATGTAACAAGATATGACTATTATATTATCCAGCAGCAATATTGAAAAAAAGATGGCGCGTCTGTAGCCTGAAGTGAAGGCGGTGGGTTGCGTCTACTTTGGCAAATATTTTGGTCGCCGTGGTTCGGTTTCTCGTTTTTTATTGTCTGGACCATTTCTTTGTAGATGAAAGTGGCGACTGGTTAGAGACATACAAGAAAGAATCGCATTCTTGCATCTACAGTGAGAAGTAAAGAGGGTGTGGTGGTAACACTGTAGGAGTAGCGGATCAGACCGACGCGCAGCAAACGCCAAACAACCAAGTAGAGAGAACAGAATGGAGCTCCGAGCTAAACCAGAAATACGAGACAGCGAGAAAACAAACTTTGATGCACAGAACAACGAAAACAAGGGCGACATGGCGGAGTTTGTGGAATTCCTCTATTCCTAACCGTGGACGCAAGTCGATGACGAGAGGGATTTTAAAGAAGGATGCAGAAACAGTGCCGCAAACGGAAGCTGTAGAGGGGGCGAAAATAAAAATGCTTGAAAAATGATATTGCTTGTCAAAACTATGCTGTCGACATGCATTTATCTTGCACGTGTTACACGTGTTTGTGTGTTTTGCGGTAGCATGTGTTTCCGATCGTTTTTACTTCTACGACAAAAATATTTGTGTACATGATATATATCTGGCAAAAGTTATCAGAGAAATTTAAGCGCCACAACTTTTCCAGCCAACTTCAGCTAATTCAATAAGAAATCCACAGCGTCGACCGAAAGAAAACGAACGACGCCGGAATTTAAATGAGCCGAAAGTGGAGACAAAGTTAATTAGTCGCGGTTCAGCTGTGAACTACTATGAGACGGAATGCAGGCCGTGTCATATTTCATAGGGATTGAATTAGAGATTTAGTAGTCTGGCAGTCTATCTTTGTGCAGATGAAATAAAATCGATGACAGAAGTTTTTGTTAATACACACAGGCTCGACGAAGACCCCGAATGATTGATTATGACAACCGATGTCTCCGCATACATCAAACTTACTCGTAAATGACTGCGCATCGCTATTCCCTTCTAGATAATTAAAATATTTTCCAATTATCGCCTATGGTTATTAGTTTACTAGTATTGCTGCTACTGATGTGCCGCTCCCTCAAATCAATTTTGCATAACGAGGCATCAAATGTCTC